ATCATTATGTCACCTTCCTTAAACAAACTAGGCATATCAAACCTGCCAAAAAGTTCACAGCCAGATACTGTGTTCGTGCTGAGAACACACAGAAATAGGAGGATACCTCTTTGCATGTTTGCACTGCATTGCCATATAGGAATGAGAGCACAGTTCTTATAACAACAGTATTACATGTAGTCAATGTGCTGTAATTTCCCAAAGGGCTCAGTGATCTTAGATTGCCAAACGTGGAATCAGGAAATTAATGCTCTACACGTATTGTTAAATGTCAGTAAACTATCTTGTATCGAAAAGTGTCTAAAACTACTTTTGCAATGCACATTAATCATAAAGAAATTTGAAAGGGACTTTAGAAAACTCTTTAGCTAGATAATGTATACGTTATCCATAGTCTTTCAGTTTTCAAGATCACAGACAGGGTAAATACAATTATTGCCCCTATAAGTACACTGTAAGACATGTACATAAAAATTACAGTTAATAACTGTATAATAGCAACGGTAAATTACCATTAAATCAAAAAGAGTAATTGATTGTAATTTGGACATTACATTTCTGTAAATTGAAAAATTGTGATTTGCTTTTATTTTTACACTGCTAATATGTTGAAAATATATTAATGTACTGTAATATGGCACATTGTCTTTGAAAACAACAGGGAAAATCTGTAACATTATTTACAATTAATCACCCTACAATTTACATAATAAGATTGAATGACAATCTTTCCTGCTTTTTTCATTTGAATTTACAATTTACAACTGTATATTAATTACCTAAAACATACTGTACTTTTAATTTTAACAAAATGTCAAAACATTGTTAGAATTATCGTGAAAATTACGGTGAAATGTTTTTAATATTAACAAGCTCAGGCTCAGTATATGTTAACAGTACATACAAACAATTACTAATAATAAAAAAATATGTATTTTTTTAAGTTCTAGAGTCTCACCAAATATAACACAGCTATTTACCGTGAAGCAAAAATATTTTGTGGTATGGAGGTTTAAATCATGGATTTACCACTGTTCAGTCCATGTTCAATCTGTTTGAGTGTGATACCACCTGCTGAAATTAAAATTAATTGATCAAAATGAAATACAAAAAAATAATGAAATAATGTTAATAAATTGGTGTAGTTTGCAAGGTCAAGAGCAGTCAACTAATGTATTATAAAAGCTGTAACAATCAGTTTCCTTAAAGTCCTTGCACGTTTGGGAGACAATGCATCACGTGTCTAAACCGTCACCTATATATATATATATATATATATATGTGGTAAAAATGGTAAATGGCCTGCATTTGTATAGCGCTTTTCTGGTCCCTAAGGACCCCAAAGCGCTTCACACTACATTCAGTCATTCACCCATTCACACACACATTCACACACTGGTGATGGCAAGCTACATTGTAGCCACAGCTGCCCTGGGGCGCACTGAAAAAACAAATTCCCCACTCGCCCCTGCGGGCGGTCAATCCTTCAAGCTCGGATCCTCTACCAGAGGCCTGGGAGCTTGAGGGTCCTGTGCAGTATCTTAGCTGTTCCTAGGACTGCGCTCTTCTGGACAGAGATCTCC